TTCAGTCCATTTTCCTAGATGATTTAAACAGACAATTCGTTGTTTTAATAATAAGACTCTGGTCAGAATTCATTTGTATCCGACAACTTTATACGCATCGCAACAATTATTATGAAAACAAAATTAATACCTTCTTTAGTTAATTCTTAATTTGGTTTCCATTAGATCACATAACAATAAATATAATCATCAATTGTACAAGGTTGTGAATTTGTAAATTTTTAAACAGTGCATTTATGTTCAAGCATTTGTGAAATAAAAGTATAACATTCTGTGTGGGGCTGTTTTGACCAGTGGATAAAAATAAATTTTGTTCAATGTCGTAGCAACCGATCGTAAATAAATAAAACTTGATTAAAATGAAGTGCAATATACTGTACGTTAACCTATTTACAAATGGATGTATAAAATAATGTTATCGCACAAAATGAAATAATGTTACAGTACAAAATAATGTTACCGTGCAAAATAATGTTACCGTGCAAAATAATGCTACCTTACAAAATAATGTTATCACAAAATAATGTTACCGTACAAAACAATGTTTTTTTGTTACCGTACAAAATAATGTTACCGTACAAAATAATGTTATCGTACAAAATGATGTTACCGTACAAAATAATGTTATCGTACAAAATAATGTGTAAAATAATGTTACCGTACAAAATAATGTTACCGTGTAAAATAATGTTACCGTGTAAAATAATGTTACCGTACAAAATAATGTTACCGTGCAAAATAATGCTACCTTACAAAATAATGTTATCGTACAAAATAATGTTACCGTACAAAACAATGTTTTTTTGTTACCGTACAAAATAATGTTACCGTACAAAATAATGTTATCGTACAAAATGATGTTACCGTACAAAATAATGTTATCGTACAAAATAATGTGTAAAATAATGTTACCGTACAAAATAATGTTACCGTGTAAAATAATGTTATCGTACAAAATAATGTTACCGTGTAAAATAATGTTACCGTACAAAATAATGTTATCGTACAAAATAATGTACGTACAAAATAATGTTACCGTACAAAATAATGTTATCGTACAAAATAATGTTACCGTACAAAATAATGTTATCGTGTAAAATAATGTTATCGTACAAAACAATGTTACCGTACAAAATAATGTTATCGTACAAAACAATGTTACCGTACAAAACAATGTTACCGTACAAAATAATGTTATCGTACAAAACAATGTTACCGTACAAAATAATGTTATCGTACAAAATAATGTACGTACAAAATAATGTTATCGTACAAAACAATGTTACCGTGTAAAATAATGTTATCGACCAAAACAATGTTACCGTGTAAAATAATGTTATCGACCAAAACAATGTTACCGTGTAAAATAATGTTATCGACCAAAACAATGTTACCGTGTAAAATAATGTTATCGTACAAAACAATGTTACCGTACAAAATAATGTTATCGTACAAAATAATGTTATCGTGTAAAATAATGTTATCGTACAAAACAATGTTACCGTGTAAAATAATGTTATCGTACAAAACAATGTTACCGTACAAAATAATGTTATCGTACAAAACAATGTTACCGTGTAAAATAATGTTATCGTACAAAACAATGTTACCGTGTAAAATAATGTTATCGTACAAAACAATGTTACCGTGTAAAATAATGTTATCGTACAAAACAATGTTACCGTGTAAAATAATGTTATCGTACAAAACAATGTTACCGTGTAAAATAATGTTATCGTACAAAACAATGTTACCGTGTAAAATAATGTTATCGTACAAAACAATGTTACCGTGTAAAATAATGTTATCGTACAAAATAATGTTACCGTGTAAAATAATGTTATCGTACAAAACAATGTTACATTACAAAACAATGTTACCGTGTAAAATAATGTTATCGTACAAAACAATGTTACCGTGTAAAATAATGTTATCGTACAAAATAATGTTACCGTGTAAAATAATGTTATCGTACAAAACAATGTTACATTACAAAATAATGTTATCGTACAAAATAATGTTACCGTACAAAACAATGTTACCGTGTAAAATAATGTTATCGTACAAAACAATGTTACCGTACAAAATAATGTTACCGTACAAAACAATGTTACCGTGTAAAATAATGTTACCGTACAAAATAATGTTATCGTACAAAACAATGTTACCGTGTAAAATAATGTTATCGTACAAAATAATGTTATCGTACAAAACAATGTTACCGTACAAAATAATGTTACCGTACAAAACAATGTTACCGTGTAAAATAATGTTATCGTACAAAATAATGTTATCGTACAAAATTATGTTATCGTACAAAATGAAATAATGTTATCGTACAAAATAATGTTATCGTAGAACATAATGTTACAGTACAAAATGATGTTACCGTACCAAGTACATTCACCTTTCTACAAGCGTATATATAACCTATTGTTCTCCACTAATAAGTTTTTAATTTATTTATTTCGGCTGATTTTTTTCAGTGATTCTCGCATGATAAAAAATAGATGTACTAAACTGAATACAGAGATACGTCCTCAGCTTATTGAGAGCTGTCAACACTGCAAGCAGAAAATAATTCATTTATGTAAACAGATACCTATCTTTACATTCCTATCAACCGTAGGGATTCTTGTTGGGGCCATCCTTACAATCATAACATATCACATTTCCAATGCACTTTTCCTGTTTGCAAAATATGTTTATTTCCTTTTTTGTTGTTGTTGTTGTTGTTGATGATGATGATGTTGTATGGAAAATAATAAGTAAGTCACAGGAGTTTTGTGTAAGTAAAAAAATCAAATATTTCCTTAATTGATATTTTTCCTCCTACTGGGAATTCTAAATAGATTTGTTATTTTTTTCTTATTTTCTATTCATTATCATTATCAGCGAAACTTCTTTTGTTTTGGAGACTGCTATTCAAAGAAATTAAAATTTCTCTTTGGAAAATGACCAGTGTGAACTTCCGTGGGTAAACAGCATGCACTACTGACAAACAGGGAGTGCACCACTAATTCTATTTTATTGCCTATTAATTCAATACAGTAATCAGCCCCGGTCATTCTTCGGACTATACAATGACAAATATCTACTGTCATCTTTTGATGACAGGTCATTGCAGTTTATACTGCAAAAAAACTCAATCTAATCACTCGTAAATCAGGATTCTCAGGAGAAGATAAATTCATCCTCTTCATGAAATGTTAGATAATCCCTTGCAAAAATTAGCTATTTGCATCTTTTTTGATCTGTCATCGATAGCGCGTTTGCTAGTTTGCACGTGTAGTCACGTGTCAGACTACCGTTAGTCACGTTTGTCCGCGCACGTGAGCAATTATGGATCGAGATATGCGTGTAATTAAAGACTGAAGATCTTGTATGAACCACGGCGGGCTACTCTAGACCGAGAGCTACGCTGTGTGTCTCACCTCTGGTAGCGGGCGGGCGTGGAGGAGGGAGAACTGACTGGTGTCCGTATCATGTATCAAACATGGTATCCAATCAAAACCGTTTTCGTATGATTGTTTATTAATTGTCAGTGCACATAGCTTGGTCGGCCAATGGTGAAACCATGTTTCCTGTCACCAAAAGGTCAAAGATCATAGGTGTTCATATATTTCATCATAATTAATATTTTTCAATATAAAATATCCCAACTTATCCCTGCGTTTAGTTGGTATCATCAATTTAGGCTTTATATGAGTGAACTTGTTAGACTTTATAGTGTAATCAACCAACTTTTTTCCTTGTCGTCAAGAGTTTGTGATGCAAGAAGGATCGGGGCCCAGGGATGAACAAGCACGTATTACCAGAGGTAAGCCGTTGTTAAACACAGTGATAAAAATGCCGTTTGTATGTTTGGTAACGTTCGTAATTATATCTGTACATACCTATCGCCGATTCCTGTTGTAAGGATTATAAATCTCTGAAATAAGTAAATTTTCCCGATTACCACAAAAATGCAGTATATGTAATGCTTCCTAGCGTTTTTCCGATTAGTTTCTTCCTCACGTGAAAGATATCGGCGGTCGAGAGCCTATCTTTTACATCTTCGCATTTTAATTCAATTTCGTGGATATACCCTGATTGGGCGTTCTTTAGGGTTTTCAGCGCTTCATTAACACAAACCACGCAGCCTGGTCTTTTTCACTGGAAAACGTTCTTTTAAATCCGCAATTTTTAATTTTCAATTTTCAAAATTTTGTCATATATGTCTGATACGAAATAAAGACTGAAAGCGGATCTTGCTTTACATCTTTTAAAATATAATCAAGTAAATTTCTTTTTCTCGTTCAATCAAAGGCGTATTTAATTATTATTAATCCTGACCGAATTCATCTGGCATGTGTTAAATTGCGTTGTCTGTTCCGGAGTACTTTGCTTTCCGTTTTCCTTACGAACTAGCAAGTATGAATAAACAAATGTTTATTTTACATTAAAATTTCAATTAAATAAAACAGAAGCTTAAAAAATTGACGACATCTAAAAAGTGAACATCAATGATATATTTGAGAAATATTTACAATGCAAAGGTGATGTTGTCTCGTTTTTTATTGTTTTATCTCATGTTCATGTGAGAATCAAACGTTTTACTTTCCTATCTTATCTAACTATATCAGTATTAGATAGTAGATTATCAACTGTGTTAAACTATCAAATGAAAAATGTTTAATTACCGAACCTTATTTTATTGTTTGTTTGTTTGTTTGTTTGTTTTTTTTTACTGTCGGAAGCTTATAGAAACTTGTTTATCCTGATGTTTTTAAAACCCTCTATGACAATAGGTAGAAAATTTGCTGTGATGATAACAAAATTACTGCTATAATAATTAACACGTTATCAATATTTTGCAGTCTAACAGTGTTATATCTCGTTAAAATCGATGAATTAAATCATCATCCAATATGTTATGTTTGACTTGTTTCAACTAACCCCATGTCCACAGAAACGGGAAGTATAATGAAGTTATTTGTTGTCAGAAACATTACGCAGACATGGAAACGTATCCGCCTGGAAGCCCTGGATATGAGGACGTCTGGAGGACAAATTCCCCGGATGTAAAGCAAGCCTATCCAGATCTCTCGCGATCTCCGTATGAACTGAATGTGGGGTCGTATCCCGTGACTACTATAGAGTTTGATCCCGTCCCTAACGTCTTCACATTCTCCCCGTGTGGGCCATCCTACAGGTGAGAATAGTTTTAATGTCACCACAAAATGTACGGCAATATCACAAATCTAAAGATCTCAAAAAATAAAATAAAATTACCAGATGGTTCTTCCGTCCACCGAAAATCTTAATTCGTCAGATTATGAAGATGCCAAGTAAGGCTTCCATCGCTGTTATTTAAACATTTATAATTTATAAAACGCATTACTTTAATACCTTGACGAGAAAAAAATGTTTTCTGATTAACGGATATGGATAGAATAACAATAGACTTGATGAAGTCAATTCATATTATATAAAGTTATAAAACAAAACACACAAGTGAATAGAATCTTTTAAATACAAAATTAGAGTTAGATACAGTAGAGCAACGACAATTAAATAAACTGCATCATACCGGTGTGTTGTCCTCTTAAGAGGCGACTGAGGAAAATCCCAAGTGACCGAACGAAAAGTCAAAATCCAGACGTGGAGGTGCAACAGCCCGATAATTAGATAAATTTCATAATCAGGAATGAATGCCTAATATATCATGCCATATCTATCTATATGGTAATAATGAAATATACTGATGTGAAAACAACTATACAGTAATTTTAGAACAATTTTAATTTCAATAAAGCTAGTACAACGACATATACAAAGATTATTGATAAAGAAGTTTTGTGACAATCTGTACGTTCGTTTGGTAAGTTTTCGTTTTTGATTTGAGTACATATTTACATTCCAATACATTGACAGGTTCTTTAAATAAGGATAAAATTTCAGAAAATTGAACGGAAGAGAAAGTCGAAATTGATGGAATGAATAATAGTAATGAGGACCGTTAATCGTGGTCTATTCCCTGATGTTTTGGATAGGTGTTTAATACGTGTTAATTCTGTGTGAACAGCCGTGTCAATAAAATGATGTATAATTTACTATTGAAAAACATGTTATTTATGTCGTGAACTTGGTCATCAAGTATATCGATAAGCTACGTATCACTAGGATAAAACTCTCAAGATGTAACTGACTCAGGTTTAAAAGACAAGTATATTGACCCTCTCATACATTAATGCTTAAACACATTCACGTAAAGATAGAAAAGTGTTTTGGGGTGGGATTGTTTGCTAAATAGCTGCTTTCTCCAAACACTCAGGGGAGCATGATGATGGCTCATGTTACAGGGTCGTGCTTGTGGAGAGGTAAGTCTTCCAGTGTCAGGGTGGTAACAAAGATGTCAACGTATTGTCGAATTTAAACAAAATTATCTGTTTGTTAGAAGTATTTGATTAGGGCTGATAAATGTTCTAATTAGACTATGAGAGAGTAGTATATTTACCCTACCCTATATAAACTAACCCACGGCCTTTGAGACTATCATGCTTACTTCAAAGAATTTTATCATTTTTTATTCGATAAATAGATTAACTTTTCAGGTTCTTTTATTTCTATTAATAATTTCATTCCAGATAATAAATTTTATTTAAATACCATGGTTGTTTATAATATCTAAAGTTGATATGACAAGTTATAAAGAATATTTGGATAAACACAAAGCTGCCTGCGCTTTATGATCTCGGTCCGTTGTCATCCGTTCGACCGCGTCGATGTCAATACATGCGCTGTGATATAAAGTTTGGACAAGTGATCGGGTGAATGGAAACTCGGTCTGTCAAATATATATTTTTTGTTAAATTGTCAGAACGCTGTCTTTATTGGACTTAGTGATCTGTAGTTCAAACGTCTAACGAGGAAGACGCAGACTTATTATGTTAATGATTTTGAAATTGTCCTGGAATGGTATAGCCTAGAAATAGCAGCTCTCTGATGTACGTCATTGTCATCTACTCCTAACGCAATGGTACAGTAAGGCTTCTTTGTGGATGAGGGGATTAATACATATATAATGTTGGGATTCCAAATTTTATTGATGTGCATGGATTAATCTGAGGGACATACTGTGTATAGTGTTGACTTAAAGATGGATGTGGTTTACTCGTGTGTATTGTCCTTGTCTTCAGCCGTGTGCCATCTGTTCATTATGTATTTCGTATTCGGATGAATGGGTGCATGGAGGTCTGTATATATATGTATATTTCCGCTTCGAATTCAATGATTAAGTATGCATAAACACATAACATTATATACTGAAATACTTTAAATATTTTCTGAGATCAAATATAATATAATAAAGTACAAAACAAACGTTGCCATATACAACTGCTAACTGGACAGCTTGTTTCTAATGTAAATTTTAATTACGACGTAGATATATCAAAATCGGCAAGACTGGTTATTTCTCTTTATGAACAGATGGATATTAAACTAACTAATGTCTTTATAAAGATTAAGAATTTATTTTTCTATTTATATTTTTAGTTTGAAAATTACGATAAATTTATTTCGCCCGATCTATATCAAACTTTATAACAGTACGTTACATTACTACAGAATAAGGAACAATATTTCATAATGTTGATTTATTTATCCAGAAATAAATTACCGTTAATTTATGATTTTTTTCGAAAGAAGTAGACAGAAATTTTAATAGAATTGTAAATGCTCACTTAAATGTTAGCACATTGCCACGGGATCTATATTTAGTGCGGGGTATTTAAATACGGTGTGATCCCAAAGTCTGAATGTTTACTTTGTCCTCGAAAAGGGACATGAAATGCAGCATGGTGTGAAGGTTTTCAAGAACAATGGCCAAGCTTACTTCTTAATTGTCAAACTGAAGAGATGTTAAGATTCGCCACCACGTAAAGAATACATTTTTCGGGTAGTTTAAGGTAAACGATATATCTATTACAGATAAAATACAATATGATATTTACGTTCATATTTTTTTTCTCATTTAATCAAATGATGGATAAGTGTAAATGATAATATCAACAATAAGCAACATACACTGTATAACATTCTATTTGGATTCTTTTTATAAACACTTTTATTTACACCTTGATATAAAAATATCTTCCATTCTCAAATTCGATGGAAATGTATTTTTTTTAATTAATTGTTACTTATTGGGGTATTAATATCAGTTACAATATCATATTTATCAGCAAATAATACAGTAAAAATACGTATTTGTAACATACACATAGGTTAATTACACGTAGTATTAGGTATTTGAGAATATCTACACGATTTATTATCACAGTTGGACTTATTTGGTTCCTGAAATTAGTGAGAATTTTCAAAAACGTGCGCAAATTTTATATCATACTGATTACAGTAACGTTTTATGATAACCGAAATGGTCTGTTTGAAAACTTATCTTTTTCTCTTACGATTTGGAGTTAGGTGTTTATTACTTGGTGCTCGTTAGTTTGCCTGTTGGTTACGTTATTGTATATCTTGTTCTCATTTGAAAACGGGACATTACATATATAGATTTACCAATTTTACATGGCGAGTGTCGTCGATGAATCAGAAGACGCTAACTCTACCGGAATACCTGGTTTTATAAATCTAGTACTTTTTCACATTGAAGAACATGGTATTTGTACTTGGATCAACTAATATTGAAATGGCTGAATTGGTAGACGGTGCCTATTATTCCGGAATATTTGGTCTCACAATCTTTGAACTCTTCCGATGGTCTCCTTGAAACTTTTCTTTCCCTCCTTTCATTTAAATTTTCCCTTTTTTTCATGATGGCGATTTCTTGCTTCTTTGCCGTTATATTAAAAACCTGGAATAAATACACTTATCCAATTTCTATATATTGTTTTCGACAGATTCTTGTTTCTCTTTCACCCCCGACATCACAGACATGTCTTACAATTGACGTTGTATATATGTTTTTTTAGACAGAATCTTATTTCGCTTTCACCCCCGACATCACAGACATGTCTTACATTTGACGTTGTATATAAAGAAGTTATTTTGCTATAATTGTGTGCTTTATAAATGTCAATTTTTTCTATTATTTTTGTAAGACAAGGTCAAGTAGATGATAGAAATATGTCCCTTCTGGATATGATATATAGAATCTGAGAATATACTGCAAAGTTGGCATTTTATCTTGTGAATTCGTTCTTTTAATAGTTTTGCGTATATGTCACAAGTATAGTATACCCTGCAGCGTTTTTGATTGAATGCGCCGGTCAGAAATCGATTGTGACGTCATAATATGGGTAACAACGTCGCGACATGAGTTGAAAATGCGCAACAAAATGGCAACAATCGTTTTTTATTGTCCGCCTTATTTTGATAATAAAACCCGTGGAAGGGTATTTTAGTTGTGTGGTAAAAAAAAATCTTAATACATTCATTTCATATGAGAGTTTTTGAAAATCGGCTCAAAGTGTCGATTTTTGCTTCTCTTTAATAAAATCTCGTTGGAAATAAATACTCATGTAAGATCCTAGATTCATTTAATCTATCGATATAGGAGGGTAGGAATATAACAACTTTATACATTATTGTGGTTTGGCAAAATTAAGATGTCTCCGGATTTCCAAGTTTTGTAGATAGATCTCCAGAAAACAATATCAGTTATTAACGTATGAATATAAATCGGCGTTCACTGTTATTATATTTATTAATTTTGGCTCGACTGAGGGTATACGTATTCCTTGAAGTTCCCTCGAAATTATGCAGTTTTTCTCTAAAGGAGTCTCCCTGTAAATCTTTGTCTTGCTCATATTTTGCCCTAGTATTATTGACTTTGAGTTTGGATTGTGATTATTTTGACTTGTTGGTATTTTCTTGTTGATTTCCATTAAAAGTTTATCACTTGCGGCTATTGTTGAATCTTCGAAATCATACATGACACACTCTGCTCGAGGACTAGTTCTGATTTTCTTCAGTTTCGTCTCCTAAAGTTCACGATTTGGGGGCCTTACAGTCTGTAGTATCACTGACGAGTCCTAGAACGCCAACATAGCTGTATAGTGCAGTTTAATTAATTATCTGTTCTGTATGTCCTCTATTTCAGTAAAAAGGTGGTATTCACTTGTGTGTCTATTGTACAATCTTTTCTAGTATTATAAATGAGTGAACCTCTCCCTTTTGTTTTTTTTTTTTTTTAATATCATTCAAAATACTATCGTCACAAACTTGTTAGTCATAACTTTAGATTACTTTTCTAAACTAGACTACAATTTAAAAACATGAAAGTATGAGGCATATATTATTTACTGAATAATTGCTTGAAAATCGTAATGAATGCTGAAATAGACAATTTGCTTCAGACTTTGTTTCAGGAAATTGAATCAGCAGACAGTACAGGCGTCAGCTCGTGATACTTTGAATATCGAAGCTAAATGAACCACGAATACTGTACATTGTATGTCTATTCACCAGTGAATAATTCTAATGAACCAGGAGGAAAGCTTTTTGAAGTTTTGAAATGTTCTTGTACTGAAATCAATACTGTTGGCAGTTAATGGTAACTAGTTCTGTAAAGATATCAACTTTCCATCTTGTTGGAAATATTTTGTCGTTGCTTGGAAATCTGTTAGGAATTTTGATAATATATTACAGAAAGAAAAGTGTTTCAACAGTGATTTTTTTCTCTTTCAGAGAGTTTTCCGCATTCAAAGAGAAATCTCCACAGGATATTGCAGACGCCCTTCTCTCTTTGAAACACGCAGTGGTACATCCGGGTCTTGGAGGACAGTTATCTCCACTTTCACCAACCATGCATATTGGTCAAGCGCCTACGGGACCAGGTTCAAACAATGGACAGCACCCACAAAGTATCGGTTATGCGCTCAATCCAAACACACAGATGCCGCAGAACATTTATCCTTCTCAGCAATCTCCACAATATGGCGTGCCCCCTTACCCTTGTGAACCGCAGACGAACATGTTTCCATCAATGAGTGTAAGTGTGTCTATGAGTATGAATGTGGGGATGTCCCCTCACGGTGTCAGTAATTGTCAATATAACCCAGTGCATCACCAACAGTGGCCAAGCACACAACAGCAACCACCGCCACGGACTATAACTCCTCAATACCAGCATTCCCAGTACAACATGGCTCCTCTTTCCCCTCAGTACAACTGTCCGCAAACCCATCCCTACCAGTCCTCGTACTCCTTATCCTCGGACTTACGACCTCTTTCGAATTCAGAATCCAGAGGAATTTTTTATCGTCCTCATGATAACTTAAAAGAGGCAGCGAGACTTTGTGCTGTGAATCATTGGAAACGGTCCAAATTCTTTGGTGGACGACACGCGCATGCAACGTTACAAAGTGAAAATAACAAGGTCAACCTGTGTAGGATATGTGGAAAGACATACGCTCGTCCTAGTACATTGAAGACACATCTGAGGACACACTCAGGTGAGAAACCATACAGGTGTTCAACGTGTGACAAGTCCTTTTCCCAGGCAGCAAACTTAACGGCGCACATTCGGACGCACAGCGGCGAAAAGCCGTTCAGGTGCCCAATTTGCGATCGTCGATTCTCACAGAGTTCGAGCGTCACCACGCACATGCGCACGCACTCAGGAGAGCGACCATACAGATGTAGGTTATGTAAGAAGGCCTTCTCTGACAGTTCTACTCTGACAAAGCACCTTCGTATCCATAGTGGAGAAAAACCCTACCAATGTAAGCTCTGTCTTCTTCGCTTCTCACAATCCGGCAATCTTAACAGGCATATGCGAGTACATGCTAATTCCTCATAAAAAACCGTAAACTATTTTGTGATGGGAGAATATGCAGTATACCAGCAAATCGGATGATTGAAACTTTCTCGCTGACGTTACATACTGTTTAATAATCAGCTTATGGGATTCATCTGTTTGCAGCTTTTGTTTTGTTTTTTAAGAGAATTTAAAACAATCTTATAATTGTAAAATGCTATATGAGAACAGATCAATGTTTAATATGACATAACTATTGCCAAATATAAGCACAGTAAAGATTTGATGCCATTGTCGTTTCATAATGTCTCATTTCTGATAGGTAGTATTATACGGACAAACAACTGTATAAAGGCATATTTTTAATAATAAACAGTATTATACCGACAATCTCGTACTGACAAACAACAGTATAACGATAATATCGTACTGACAAACAACAGTATAACGACAATCTCGTACTGACAAACAACAGTATAACGACAATATCATACTGACAAACAACAGTATAACGACAATCTCGTACTGACAAACAACAGTATAACGACAATCTCGTACTGACAAACAACAGTATAACGACAATCTCGTACTGACAAACAACAGTATAACGACAATCTCGTACTGACAAACAACAGTATAACGACAATCTCGTTCTGACAAACAACAGTATAACGACAATATCATACTGACAAACAACAGTATAACGACAATCTCGTACTGACAAACAACAGTATAACGACAATATCATACTGACAAACAACAGTATAACGACAATCTCGTACTGACAAAAAACAGTAAAACGACAATCTCGTTCTGACAAACAACAGTATAACGACAATATCATACTGACAAACAACAGTATAACGACAATCTCGTACTGACAAAAAACAGTATAACGACAATCTCGTACTGACAAACAACAGTATAACGACAATCTCGTACTGACAAACAACAGTATAACGACAATCTCGTACTGACAAACAACAGTATAACGACAATCTCGTACTGACAAACAACAGTATAACGACAACATCATACTGACAAACAACAGTATAAGGACAATCTCGTACTGACAAACAACAGTATAACGACAATATCATACTGACAAACAACAGTATAACGACAATCTCGTACTGACAAACAACAGTATAACGACAATCTCGTACTGACAAACAACAGTATAACGACAACATCATACTGACAAACAACAGTATAAGGACAATCTCGTACTGACAAACAACAGTATAACGACAATCTCGTACTGCCAATATAAGGACAATCTCGTACTGACAAACAACAGTATAACGACAACATCATACTGACAAACAACAGTATAAGGACAATCTCGTACTGACAAACAACAGTATAACGACAATCTCGTACTGACAAACAAAAGTATAAGGACATGAATGTGAACATTACATTATCTATTATTATATCCATGGCATGGACATTGTTATTCTGTACTTACCATCAATTTAAGTCAATTCAGTTTGATGAAAATCCCGTGTCACATGAATTCTTAATGTACAAGAGACGGTAATAAAAAGTTGACAAAGTATATACAGTATACATTAAATAGAATATAAAGCATATGTTGTTTGTATTGTCAATATACTGTATATATAAGTTATGAAATGAAAACACTGACACCAAGAATAATACAATATTGTCGATGATAGGGGAATACCAAAGACAGAAACGGACAACAACCCACGTTACGTTACCTAAAATAAATCAATCACAAACAAATTCATAGTAGAGAGATAAAATTTGTGTACATAAAAATTTTTCTTTGATTTCTAGCACGTGATTGTCATGGTTACCTACTGAAAAAATGCTACAAATGCAAAAATACTGCTAAATCCAACTTAACACTACAACTTTCACACCTTAAACTCAACAACACTGATATTGTAACAAAGTACTTACATTTCAGCAAATTCCAACTCGGAAATCCTTCATAACATGACCACATGTAAACACTATAACATTTTCACTTCCTGTAAAAATAGTTTTTGGTGCATAGACACAGATTCGAGACTGTCCAAATAATAATCTCCAACACAAAGCTAAAATATTATTATGAAAAAAATGAAACCCCATATTGTCAACTTCAACACGACAAGACCAATTTTAGCAAGGATTTTTTTTTTTAATTTTAAGTAAAACCTTTATAATGGACAAAATTATCATCCATGACCACACCGAGAAACTGTGTACTGCTACCTACATATATGAAAATATTATTTATATATAAGTTCAAATACTGTACAAAAGACACACAAGTGAATAGCACATCAATACAAATTTAGCGTTAGATATAGTAGAGCCAAACAATGAATTGAAATGCATCACACAGCTGTTTTGTCCTTCTAGGACTCGTCAGTGATGCTCAGGGCCTTAATTTTGAAGTCCATGAGGCGAATGAGGAAAATCCAACATGATCGAAAGAAAAGTTAAAGTTTTGACGGGGGGATACATTAGCCCTATAACTCAATAAATTTCCTTATTTTTATACACCTGATAATTCTGGAACAACGTCGTGTACATGTGTACATACTAAGAAGTGTCACTAATTGAATGAATGGAAACATGGCATGCAGGTTACAGAATAATCTTCACAATAGATATTTTGAAACATACTTTAAATATTAATTTCCTGCCGTTTCATTTTGTATAACAGTTACCTAACTTTCTGTCAGAAAGTCGATATAACTGGTCAAGGTATATAGTTTACTTTTTCTCTTCCTTTTTTTTACCTTCTGATAAAAATAATATCAGATACGTTGATATAATTTTGCAAAGCATTACATACACAAAGTTTTCGTCAAAGGCGGGTGATGGTATCCTGCCATCTCGGTCGCTTCGTACCAATTTTACCCTGGGGACGTTGTATATTTTAATTCATAGAGAGGCCCGAGGCACTCCGGGGTACACGTCACGTATGTTAGTATAGGTCACCCGTAATCTTAAACTAATATCAACCATTGTAATAAAAGTTACACATATATCAAGTGAATAAATATTATGAGAAATTGAAATATTTTTGAGCAGTGGTATTTATCTTTTAACTTTTATTTTCTATGTCATAGCAATAAGGAATTACCAGTAATTAAGTCATGAACTCATTTCACACTCATCAAACGAGAGAAACTCTGTACATGTTTTACAACAATAGGGATTATTCTAATGTCTCGGTAGATTATTTCATGTTCTTCCTGCCGACTAAAGGATACGGAATGTCGGTATGAAGTTCCAACATGTTTTTGGTATCCTGTATAACAATATTGTTATCACATCAATGCCTATAAGTATAGACTTACTGATACAACAGGTGCGAGATACTCCAGGGTACACGTGTGAGTAATCATGCACGTGATTACATAGGTTAACCATTCAATAAATAGACATACATATTACTATAGTGAGAATAATAATATATATTGATTTTTAATTCATAACATGAAAAAAAACATTTTTGTCGTTTTTCTTGTGAGGAACACAAAATTCACAGTAATGAAGAAATAAGGCAACTTATCTAACATAGTTCACAGCAAGATAAGGACAAATAACAGTTTACATTATCACTTAGTGTGTAGGTAATCTATAAATTTTTAACAGCAGCTTAAGTACGGAAACTATACACTGTAGTTGTGTCCAAAAATTACCTGTCAGTTATAAATTTTACACAGCAGCTGAAGTACGGAAAACATACACTGTAGCTGTGTCCAAAACAAAAATTTCTCACAGCAGCTGAAGAAATTAAATGTTTACTTCTGTCCTCACACAGCAGCAGAAGTAAGGAAACACATACATAAAATTGTCAGACTAAGAATATATGAGAGTTTATTTGAAGAGCAAATAATAATTTTATTTACTTTTCTACTAAATTATAGAAATGCTTTTATCATTTGATTTATAATTGAAATTTTCATTTCGGACCTAAATTCTATTAATTTAAATGGATCCAAATTTTCTAGATAAAAAAAACAGAGGACCTATCTTCACAACACGAAAACCAATAACAGGAAAGAAAGGAAAGCAAAGGTGACGAAGGAAACACACAATAAAGGAAACACACAAGAACTGTGACATATCAAAATGAAAGAAAACATCATGTATGATTAAAAAAGAGTAAATATGACAGTAGGAACTGGCAGAGTCCAGAAAACATCAATACATTTACATTTGAAACAAACATCTCCGAGAAACTCATTTCATTTCTTCGTTTAACCAACATGTACATGCTATTTCAGTTGCCAGATATCTTTTTTATTCTCCAAAGCATTAAGTTACTGGCAGACTTAGAACGCTGGAACCAATGAATACAAAGTCTGGTATAAAGATGATGTTGAACAGTAACAAACGTTGGTATCCTGAAATATCAGAAAGATTTTAAAATTGCCACCTTTCAGATGGCTTGCTTTACGTAACCTGAACACATTAACACATTTCCTTAGAAAAATAATGTTTCGTAGAAACCATGTCTTCCTGGCAACAGTCCTACATATAATATTACACCGTTACGGTAGACTGGAGACACGGAAGTACTTGATGATTGCTTCAGACACGTGGTACCTGATCAGTATAAATAGCGAGTGGTCAGTCAGTGTGGTCATTCTTTCGACAAGCCATCCAGTGTCAAGGTAAGTCAATAATATCTTAAATACTAGAAAGTTTTTTTCTTGTCGTTCTTTATTTGGAGTTCGAACACTTAAAAAGATCATGAAGATGGTAAAGATTTTACAATGAACAATATTGCCAGTAATTGAAACTCTGTAATGTTTTCCTCGTACGTGTTGAAGTAAGAGTGTTGTATGCAACATCAGTTCTATAATGATGCCCCTCTACAGCTAGAGTATTTTGTTTGATGCCCTTTTATCAGTAACATCAGTTCTATAATGATGTCCCCTCTACAGCTAGTGTGATTTTGTTTGATGACAACATCGGTTCCTTAAATATACCCCTATAAATTTGATCTTAAATAAAACATATTTTAATTGTTATCAGAATCCTTGCCCGCCTAGAAGCCCGCCAGT